TATCCTGACATATACTTCTTTGACTGTCTGGACCCATGAGATGGAACGTGAATTACTGTAGGCACCATTCCCTGAATCCCCCCAGTGGGCTCAATATCACTGCACTGTGTTCCTGTAGTTTCTTTTGCATGACTTTGTATAATAACTAAAATGTTAATACTGAGGATACACTGGGTAGTAGGTTCCTTGTATTTTCTTGTATTTTTCAATTTTTGGTAAGTATCTTTTCTAATAAATAAGAAACAAGAAAAATTATGTCTCAGAAATTTAAAATACACTGATTTTGTGAGGTCTTGATGAAACTGTGTATATATCATATTTAAAAGGAAAAAAAAACAAACACCTAATTATTAAATAGAGAACCCCAAGCTAAAATAAATCAATCTACATATGTACATCCACTGACTGTAATACATACTCATTTTGATGGCTGCAGTAGTTTTTACTGTTGTTGTCAGCAGCCACTGAGTTAGCACCCCACTCATGGTGACCCCACGCACAATGAGATCAGACTATTGCGATCCTTCAGGTTTTCCTTGGTTGATTTTTGAAGGTAGAATGGCACGCCTTCTTCCTACTTTGTCTTAGTCTTGGAAGCTCTGCTGAAGCATGATCAGTATCGTAGCAGCACATGACCTTTTACTGACAGACAAGTGGTGGCTGCACTTGAGGTGTAAGGGCCATAAGCAACAAATAAACAACTGTAGCATACTGACAGTTTTTTCCCCATATAATCCTTACTGAAATAATGTTCTGAAGAGCTAATATACTGTGGTTGATTTAAAAAAAAAAAAAGGAAAAAGGTGAATCTCCCTCCTACCCAGTGTCTCTGTTCTCTTCAGAGGAAACTTATACTTCCAGTTTCTTATGTGTCTTTCTACAGGTATTCTAACAACATATAACTATATAGTATATGTATATGTATATATCACTTTAAACACACATAGTAATACACCATACACAGGATTCTGCTTGTAATTTTAAAAATTTTAATTACTCTAAGAATACCACTTTCCTTTAAAATCCTATGCACTAACATGATAATAGTGCATTCTCTAAAAAGCAATAAAAGAACAAACTGCTGTGAAGTAAATCTTGGTAACAGATGATGACATGTCAACAAAGATTATGCCTCAGTGCATGGCTAAAGAAACAATCTTTTTCAATTTTGGATTCCTAGCACAAAGTAATAAACCATAGTAGGTGCTTAATAGATGCTTGTTCAGTGAAACACTAGATATGAATGCATTATATACATATAAGTAATGTTACAAAAGAATGTTTAATGATCAGAGAAAATGCTCACACTTTGTTATTAAGTGAAAAACAACCCTTACAAATGGTATGTAAAGATCTCAATTACAAACGCTATGAGATCTAGTATGTTTGGTGGCCTGGTAAATAAGAAATTAAATAGCAAATTAATCATTCCACATACAGTGTATAATCACAAAAGATATGCCAATTTATACACTCAATACATTACAATTTACTTGATCTACTGAGTCAGTGGAGAAATTCTGAAGACATGTGTATATACAGGGGTGGCTTGAAGCAAACAATGAAGAAATCTTTTAAAATTCTTTGGACTAATTCTAACTGGTGTTATAAACCTAAGAATAAAAACATTTTGCCATTATGAATGAAGATAGCCATTCTCTCAACAAATTATGAGCTGTCAAAATTTTTAAAAAGTATTACATTTGACAATGCAAGTACAGAAAAAGAACCACGAGTAATGATAAATAAGAGACTACTATGGACATAACTGTAACCTGGAAACAGCATTTAAAAAAAGGGTATGGACAAATTCATTGATGACAGTAGATGAGGTGCATCCAAGGACAGTGCTCATTTCAAGTGTGTATGTGTACCTTCAAAATTAGCAAAATATGGAATAAAAATTGAGGTTTGCTATGCTTAAACTCTTATTAAATTTTCATAAACCTGTTTTTCACTATCCTTTTAGTCTTTCTTCCATAAGTTATTTGTAAAATGAGTGAAAAACATAAAAAATAAAAAGATCCATTGGACCTAAATATTAACGACTGATAGACAGACAGATATATACACATATATAATACATATATATATTCTGTGATACAGGACATACACATATACACTCACTCCTCACTTATCAACATGGGTAGGTTCCAAAGACCCAGTTGTTGTGAGAAAATCGGTCTTGCGAAAATGGAGAGTGACCACATCAAATCACAAAATAAGGATGACTACATCATTACATAACTGACAAACCACTGAGAATCATTGCCTAAGTTGACACATAACCGTAACCATCACTGCCAGTGTTACTCTTGCTTTGCACTTCAGTGTTACTACCAGATGTATGCTGTTAATGTGCAAAATGGTCTGATAGATTTTTTTATATTGTTGTAAAATGAAAAATGTCAGATAATAACAGTCGATAAGTGAGAAGTAGATGTATATGACTTAATAACTTAAAAATTAAATGGCCTTCAGTGCCCAGAGAAATTCACCTAAAATATCTCATTCATTTCAATTAAGAATAAATAGTAATTCTCTACACAACTTCATCCAGGATTATCAACTTCATCCAAATACAAAAAAGTCTCTTACCTCATATTCCATACAAGGATCTGGGGAATCATCAGTACAATGAACAAATCTTTGGGGGAAAAAAAGGTAATAGAATCTTTTTGTATAGTGGTGACAGTTTATGCACACATATTACTTGTATTTAAACACAAGTGTACGGTTTCACTAAAATGCATGCAAAAACAAGCAGCTAATTTAAGTTCAATGAACATTCTTTAAACACTATTCAATGTTAGGCATTATCCTAGCCACTCTGCATTATTCTTATTCAATCCTCAAAACAATATGAGGTTGCTATTATAATCCCCATTTTTCTGTCAAAAGACAAGGAAATAAAGATCTAGAAAAAGCCTTATTTAGAGATGAACCCAGGACTATAACTCAAATTGTCTAACTCCACATTTCAAATGAAGGCAGGATGACACTGCCATTTGACATATTCTCATTGCATACATCCTTGTGGCTGCTTCTCTGTAACATTAACTCTGCCATCTAAAGCCACTCAAAGTTAATATAATTCTTTTTCTACATGGCATTTTAAAAAATACTTGATAGCTCAATTTAGTTCTCTATTAAATATATTGCTTTCCCCTCTAAAAATTCCAAGTTTTGTGAATAAATTTTCCTATCATTTATTAAATGCCTATTGTATACTAAGTAGGAAGCCCTGGTGGCACAGTGGTTAAGTGCTTGGCTGCTAACCAACCAAAAGTTGGTGGTTCAAACCCACCAGCCACTCCACAGAAGAAAGATGTGGCAGTCTGCTTCTGTAAAGATTACAGCCTTGGAAACCTTATGGCAATTTTACTCTGTCCTATAAGGTCGCTATGAGTCAAAATTGACTCAAAAGCAGTGGGTTGTTATGCCAAGTGCTATGCTGGGCACTAGGAATGCTAAAATGACTAAGAATTCCTTGTTCATGGAGGCTATATAGATGGAGAACACCTAACAAATAGAGAATTTCATAATACCGAGGAAGATAAAACTAAAAATACTCTGATGGCACAAAGGAGAATTGGTAAGCTTTGTTTTATGTATATGTGCATGTGTGTACACACACATGCGGGAGGAGAGGCTTCATCCTACAGGAAGAAGCTGCAAGGAAATGAAGGGCAGGGAGGAGTATCCAAATCATGAAGTGTCTTGTTTGCCTTGCTAGGGAGATTGTACTTCTTATATAAACAATGAGGAATTTCAAAAGGTTTCTAAATATGTGAGACAGGCAATTAATTTAGGCATTAAGAGTATCACTATGACAGTGGTACTGGATAGCATGGGGGAGGGGTAGCAATTAGGGGACAGAGAGACTATTCCAACAGTGCTGGTGAGAGATGGGATCTAAATAAGGCAACGGGAGTTGAGAAGGAGAAGAGAAGCACTATATAAAAACATTTAGGAGGTAAAGTCAGTATTACTAACTTGGTGACTGACTGAAAGTGGAGGATGAGGGAGAAAGAGGCTAGGATGACTCCGGTGTCTAAGTTTGATGACTACCTGGATGGTGAGGGTGTGTCATCAAAGAGAATACAGAAGGAAAAACAGGTGGTATGGGGTGGCATTGGGAAAAGACAGGACATAACTATATTTGGGGTGTGAAGAATTGGAGATAATGGGATAACCACATAGAGATGTCTACTGTTGTTGTTGTTATGTGGTGACAAGTCAGACCTGACTCATAGCGACCTCTCCTTGGGTTTCTGAGGCAGTATCACTACGGAAGTAGACTGCCCAACCTTCCTTCCGAGGAGTGGCTGGTGGGTTTGAACCTTTAGCCTTCTAGTTAGCAATCAGCACTACGCTACCAGAGCTCCTGAGATATTTACTAGGCAAGTGGAAACAAGAGTCTAAAACTCAAAAGAGAAGGAGGTGAACACTAACTGCTTAGAAGTAAAAATCATATGGATATAACAGCCAAAATCAAGGAAGAAGAAACAATCACCTCAGACAGATAACAGAATCCAAGGAAATACCAACAATTAAAGGGTGAGCAAAAGAAAAGCTAGAGAAGACAACTAACAATAGAAATAGAAGAGGAATGAGAAAACAGTGAGTCAGGGAAGAGTGATTCAATAAGAAAATGGGGAAAAGACTCAAATGTCACTGAAAAGTAAGACAGGAGTCACCCACTGGACCTAGTGACTTTGCCAGAGCGATTTTAAAGTATTATACAAAGGTAGAAACCACCCTGTAGAGAACCAAGGAATGAACAGAAGGTAAGAAAACAAAATGAAATATTTTAAATCAGCTTAACAATGAAAAGTAGAAGAGTAATAATATAGAGGAAAGGAAAATTAACATTTAGGTGTCTGTCTTTAGCTTTTGCTTTTTAATCTGTAGGAATGGAATGAATCAGTAAAGAGGGTTTGACCATGACAGGGAAAAGGGAAGAGAGAATAACTTACACTGAAACTTGCAGTTGCAAGAAATTTTTTTAACACACAAACAAAAGTAACTTTTAAAGATGTCTTAAGTAATTTATAAGCAAAATGTAGTTTAAAAAGCCTTTCAATTTCCCCGAATATTTGACTAAGCTGGAATTCTCTACAACTGTTTATGATTTAGATTGAAAAACGGTAACAATTTTAGGTTGTTTGATTGGCTGACATCCTGAGAAAATAAGAACTTTTATTATCACTAATAATTAGGCACTGACTGATATAATCTAAATTACAAAGAAAAGGTATACATGAGGTGTTTCGTTAAAAAACCATGAGGTTTTCTACCAGTGTTTTATTAACATTTATATGCCAGGTACAGTATGAAGCATTCTGCATTCACTATCTCATTTAATCTTTGCAATAATCCTATAAGAAAGTACTACTATCATTACCCATATTTATTCCATGAGGATAGCAAGGCTAAGAAAAATGAGATAAGTGGTGGAGAGTACTCTAAAGCAACAATGTACCTCTTTTCTTAAGTATGGAAGTTGTAGAGCTGTTGTTAAGTCTCAGATTTAAGTTTTAAAAAGAAAAAAACCACCAACCACTGTAGGACTTCAGGCTCAAACAGTATCACTGCTAAAAAAGAGAAAGAACCAAATCTACGACTAACCAAATCTATTTCTATAATATAATATGAATCTCCAAAATACCAATATGTAAAACCTGTTTTTATACATACATACATACACACACTGATGGTATTTTAAGACCTTGTTTTTCTCTAGAAAGCAAAAATCCCTTACTTTAAACTAATTTAAAAGTATATTATCCTGAGGAGTTATAGAGTTATAGTTTAAAACAGAAAACTAAGTTTCAGTTCATTTTTTAAAAATGTTACATAGAAATTAACCTCATGGATTGTTCTATGTTAATCAAAATTAAATTCATGAATTATCAGGTTTAATCAAAATTAATTAATTAAATAATTAGCATTTCAGCATTATTAATCAATTAATAATTAATTAATTTTAGCCTTAAAAAGAAGAGGAAGAAAATCCTTTTTCCCCCAAGAAGAGTATAAGCATTAAACATGTTTCTGGAATGTTCTATATTTTCTATCATTTATGGAATTTATGTTTGGACATGTAGCTGGTACAGAGACAACTAAAGCATTCTGAAACAGATCTACATAAAAAAGGAAAAGGAAAATGTTTCAAGTAATATAAAAAACAGTTGACCAGAGGTTTTTAAAAAAAAAAAATCAGGATCTGGGATTCTCTACTAGTGCTTGATCTTAGCAAAGTCAATGAACTTTTCTGGCTGGCTCTCAGTGACCTCAGCATTAAAATAGTGGGTGGAATTTGGTGATTCTAAGATTCTTTATGCAAGTAAATTCACAGACAACTTGCCTCGCCTCCTTTTCTTCACTTTGTCTTTATATTCAGGTAACCACCTGACCTGCACACTGAACCTCAGGAAAAGTCAGAGTTCCTAGAATACAGGCCTGAAAATGAGAGCGTACATGACAATGACCTGGGTTGTTTTTTCAAAATGTATCCCTAGATTCTAATCCAATGGGTCCAAGATGGGACCAGACCCATACGTTTTAGATAAGGTTAAGAAGTGTATCCCCAGCTCTAAAACTATTAAGTGGTTCTTGGAAAATGGCTACCCTTAACCCTGGAAGATGTCTGTTGGCCATTTATAGGCCTTTACAGTGGATCTACACCATTCTTAATGAAACAAAGAAGCAAGGAAAAGGGAGGAAGTGGTGAGTCAGAACAGCCAGGAATCCAAGCATAGTCTTCAAACTAAAGTGGCTATAGTTAGGAAACGTCAGTTAGCCTCCCCTAAAATCCACTAAAGTCACTGTGGATCTCAGCATGTTCTTACTTGCTAGAAAGTGACCACTTTGCATTAAACCTCGAGTCTGTGGCTAAATAAGATGGAGTCATGGATACATCTTATTAAGAATTCTATTACAGAAATTCATTTTATTGGCAAAACATTTTTCAAATCCTTTTAAAATCCTGAATGAAAAAATAAAAATAAAAATGTTAAAAATCCATAAAGTAGTATGAAAGATAAAAAACTGTATGGCATAATTTTTCATGATAGAGAAAAATGTTTACAATATATAGTATACTTTTAAGACATTAAAAAATATCCCGAAACTATATACCATGTAACCTCATCTTTGTGAAACAAACCTATACATATGTAGGGCAAATAGCACGATGATTAGATATCAAAATATTAACAATGGTTACTTCCCAGCAGTGACAATTAACTTCTTTTGCTATTTCTATTAGTATTTGTAACATTTATCATACTGATTGTTGTTGTTGTTGTTGTTATGTGCCGTCGAGTCAAACCCGACTCATAGCGACCCCTCCTTGGGTTTCCGAGGCAGTATCACTACGGAAGTAGGATTGCCCAACCTTCCTTCCGAGGAGTGGCTGGTGGGTTTGAACTGCCAGCCGTCTGGTTAGCAGGCAAGTGTCTTAGCCACTATGCTACCAGAGCTCCCATCATACTGATTACACATTAATTTTGTTTTGAGTATTAATTTTGAGGAATTAAGAAATACATAAAAATACAAAGTATGTATGTATTGCTTTTATAATAAGAACAAAACCAATTCAGTTTATTTTAAGTTACCATTTTAGCTTCCAACCAACAAATC